TAAAAAAAAAAAAAAAAAAAAAAGCTCTCTTTTTAAGCCAGCTAGAATGATTGTTGTAATTTGCAGTTACATGAGAAGTATTACTGTGTAAGAAACTATAGGAGAAAAAGGTACTTCCTAGAAAGGGAAGGCTTGATTACTATTAAAAGATTAGAAAGGTGCCCCTTTGGTAAGAGACGATTTTAAAGTCAGGAGAACTCCTCTGGGATCACTTTGGCAGTATACAGTCATGGCTGATTGAGTTGATTATATAAAGAAGTAAACCAACTCTTCAGTAGAGAAAAAGTAATAGACTTGTTTGTTTATTTCTGTTAAGTTCAGATCACTTCTTGTCAGGAACTAGAAAGAAAGATCTTGAAATACTTCCAAAGCTATGAACCAGGCATAGTTTCAGTCTTCTAGTGTCATTTCAAAAGTCAGGAGAATTTAGAGATCTATTTGAAAATGGCAGATGTGATAGTAACTGCTCAGAATCATAATCAAGAACTGATTTGGTACCTTTAGCAGAAAGAATATTCAGTCACATATGTTTGTCAGAGACAGATTTGGAGCACCAGAAAGTTTTGGTTCTGGCCCTTTGCATAGCTTGTAAACAGTATCACTCATGATTGTCTTTAGGAAGGAACGTTGTTTAAAAAAAAAAAAACCTCTAAGTGTTAATTGGGTAGAATCTAAAACTGTGTTGTCTAATTGGTCGTATTGAAATGATCCCGTAAAACTCTTATTTTAATGAGCAACTGGTAATACATTCTGTAGGAATAAGTTCTAAACACTTAAGTATTTTCTCCAAAGTAAAATTAAATTATTCAATAGCCTCTTTAGGTGCTCTAAGCCCAGAAACAAATTTAAGGAAACTTTCCAAAGTTCTGATATTATTGGCAGTTATCATTAATAGCAATAGTTACACTTTCCTCTATGAGGCCATAGTTTTGCAAAAGAAAAATAACAAATCTACTTCTTGAGGAACTAGCACTACTTCTTTCTAACTCAAGCGATGATATTTGTCTTTCACAGGCAGAGAATGCATCTACCCTACATGTATGACCAATGTAAACATATGCTGTATGTTTCCTCTGAGTTGCAGAGACTTCAGGTATCTTATGAAGAGTATCTCTGTATGAAAACCTTACTGCTTCTCTCTTCAGGTTGGTAAAACACCACTTCACTTCTAAATATGTCAAAAGCAAGAAATATGAAAGTCTAGAAATAATGGCTTATTAATATGTACAGTACTAATTATACAAAGTCTACTACTAATTCCTGCTAGTCAGATGATTTAGATTTTCATAAATGTAAAATTTTAATAAGGCACAGTCAGCAATACCAAGACAAATAGGAATAGTGGAAAAATTATATATATATATATATATATATATAAAAGCTGCACAGGGGTCTGTCTTGATCTAGAATTTGTGCAGACTACGTCTTCCTATTATGTTACCTTTGATAACGCTGTTATAGGAGACATGGAGAAATAAAGCCAATTAGAATTTTTTTACTCTTCTATATTAGAGGAGCCCTGATGGCACAGTGGTTAAGCACTTGCCTGCCTAACCAAAAGGTCAGTGGTTCAAACACACACACACTGGCTCTGTGGGAGAAAGATTATGGCCTTGGAAGCCCCGTATAGGGGGCAGTTTACTCTGTTCCATAGGGTCACTGTGAGTTGGAATTGACTCAACGGCAGTTGGTTTTGTTTTTTTGGCTTTATACTGTTATTGGTCAGAATTTGTAGTTACATGATGAGTACTAGCATAAGAAATTATGGGAGAGAAGATAGATCCTAGAAAAGGTATGCTTGATTAATTACTATTAGGGATTGGAGCTAGACTGTTGGACAGAAGTGTTTTATCTAGAAAACAGCAACAAAAGTTTATAAAACAATCTTGAAAATTTAGATTAGGTTATTAGTATATAAAATTTAGTGGAATTACTTTCAGCTAGCAAAGATATTAGAATACTTTTGAAAAGTACAAAGTATCTCATCTGTGTTAGTAAAAATGTGGCATTTTTAACAACTAATAAAAGAACCAGTTGGTATTAGCAGCTTTAGGCCATTCCAGTAAAAATTATATATCAGATTAGTGTTTATAAAAAATTGAGTTGATGGCTAAATACCTCTTTCCTAAGTAAATTTGCAGTTTTTTAAAAAGTCTTCATTGTGTTAGCAATTGTGGTTTTACAGTTAAGGAGTCCTTGGGTGGTGCAAACAGTTAAGCTCTCTATGGATGTTGCACGTGACAGTATTTAACTCTTCTAAGGCATACATAAATCTTAATGCTTATGCACTATCTTTGCTTCACAAAATGTTTTTTTTTATGTTAATGGGTTTAAGAAGTATTAATATTTCAATCAAGGCAAGAGAATTTTCCACAACCCAGTAAAAATACCTAAAGGTAAAGATCATTGGTAGAGACTGTTTTAAGGTAACATACAGTAGTAGAATGAGGAGCCCTGGTGGCTCAGCGGTTAAGTAATACGGCTGCTAACCAAAAGTTCGGCAGTTCGAATCCACCAGCCTCTGCTTGGAATCCCTGTGGGGCAGTTCTACTCTGTCCTCTATGGTCTCTATGGGTTTGAATTGACTCTATGGCAATGGGTTCGGTCAGTAGACTTGTAAAGAACTTGAAGACCATAAATAATTGATGACCTTGATGTTACTTGAGTAAACAGATGAAGTTCTGATCATGATTCTTATTGATACTATTGAGGTGTCAGTTCAGTGCCAGGATATTAATGACCTTATTTCTAAAAAGAATGGTTTAAATTTTATCCATGTTAGGCTCACTGAGCTGTATATATTCTTTCATTGTAGATAATAAGAAAAAGTACATGGAACTAGTTAGCCACATCACGGGTTCTTTTTTGAAAAAGAGTAGAATCACAAAGATGAAAATACACAAGGTATAATTATATGACTGTAGAAAAGAGTTTGGTGGTTTCTCAGAAAATTAAACATAGAATTACCATATAACCCAGCAATTCTACTCCTAGATATATGCCCAAAAGAATTAAAAGCAGAGTTTCGAACACATACTTGCACACCAGTGTTCATAGAAGCATTATTCACAGTAGCCAAAGAGTGGAAACAACCCAAGTGTCCATCAGCAGATGAATGAATAAACAAAATGTGGTACATACATAAAATGGAATATTACTCCACTATAAATAGACATGAATTTCTAATACATGCTACAACATGGATGGTCTTTGAAAACATGCAAGTGAAGTAAGTCAGACACAAAAGGACAAATATTTTATGATTCCACTTATATGAAGTATCTAAAATAGGAAAATTCAGAGAGAGAGAAAGCAGATTAGATGTACCAGGGGCTAGGGGTATGGAAATGGGAAGGTATTGCTTAATGGGTACAGAGTTTCTGTTTGGCATGATGAAAAGTTTTGGAGATAGGTAGTAGTAATCGTTGCACAACATGACAAATGTAATTAATGTCACTAAATTATGCACTTAAAAATGGTTAAAATGGCAATTTTCATGTTATATATTCTGTCACAATAAACTTAAAATATATAAGTAGACTTCCATTTTTGGCAAAATACTAGAATAGGTACCCTAACCTCCCACTAAAAAAAAAAAAAAAAAGTATTCCTATATGCACTGGTGAGCTGGTAAGAAAGAAAACTAAGTAAGGCAGGAACCCAAAGAGGAAAGCTGTACTCTGAAGCCAGCTTTCTCTTTGAGGGTATGTGCATAACCTGGTAAATTAGTATACTTAGTAAGTTTAAAGACACGCTTGGAAATATAAATGAAATTTAAAAAGCAATGGATGGATTTAAAAGCAGATGAAACACATTTGAAGACACTCTTGAAAAAGTGGTATACTGTTGTTTGAAAAGAAACTTAGATTAGTTGTAAATGCATATTACAAACTCTAGGGCAAGCACTGGAAACCCTGGTGACATAGTAGTTAAGAGTTCAGCTGCTAAGCAAAAGTTCAGCAGTTTGAATCCGCCAGATGTTCCTTGGAAACCCTATGGGGCTGTTCTACTCTGTCCCATATGAGTCAGAATTGACTCGGCGGCAACAAGTTACAGGTAGGGCAAGCACTAAAGTAATTTTTTAAAGTACCATTGATACGCTGAGAGAGAAGAGAAAATGGAATCATATGAAATAATTGATTAAAATCAGAGAAGGCATAAAAAGAGGGGAAGATAAAAAAAGAAACAAAGACAAGTTCAAGAAATAGAAAATAGTTACAAACATGGTAGATATGAATCCAGCTATATCAATAATCACTTTAAATGTGAATGGTCTAAACGCACCAATTAAAATATAGAGTCTGGCAGACCCAGCTATGTGTTGTCTGCAAGAAACCCTCTTTAAGTATAAAGACAGCTAAATTGAAAGTAAAGGGATAGAGAAAATGTCTTAGTTATCTAGTGCTGCTATAACAAAAACACCACAAGTGGGTGGCTTTAACAAACAGAAATTTATTCTCTCACAGTTTAGGAGGCTAGAAGTCTGAATTCAGGGCTCCAGCTCTAGGAGAAGACTTTCTCTTTCTGTCAGGTCTGGGGAGAGTTCCTCATCTCCTTTCAACACGTATGGGCCCAGAATTCCTTGGAGATCTCCATGTCTCTCGGCATCAGTCTTCCCCTGGGTCTAGGAGGTTTTCAGTGCAGGGACCCTAGGTCCAAAGGACGCACTCCACTCCTGGCTATTCTTTCTTGGTGGTAGTGAGGTCCCTTCTCTCTCTGCTCATGTCTCTTTGCTTTTATCTCTTGTAAGAAAAAAAGGTGTGACTCGAGGGTGTGACCTGAGTAAGGCTCTGACTTGAGTCACGCCCTTTAGTAAGGGTGTGACTCAAGATACACCTCACCCTAATCCTGCCTCATTAACATATAGAGGTTTAGGATTTGTGGCACATAAAATGGAGGATAATTATACAGTACCACAAAGTGGAGGACAATTACATCAGATCACAAAATGGAGGACAGAAAGATATACTGGAGTAGCTATGTTAATTTCAGACAAAGTAAACTTAAGAGCAAGGAAAATTAGCAAGCATAAAGAGGGACATTAAATAATGATAAAGTAGTCAATTTTCTAAGAAGACATAATCTGAAAATGTGTGCACCTAACAACAGAACGTCAAAACTTATGAGGCAAAAACTGATAGAACTGCAAAAAGTATACAAACCTGCTATTACAGTCAAAGATTTCAACTGTTTCTGCCTCCCTCTATCAGTAGCTATAGACCCAGCAGGCAGAAAATCAGTAAGGATATGTTGACCTAAACAACACCGTCAATCAACTGGATCTACTTGCATTTATAAAATATTTCATCCAACAACAGCAGAATATACATTCATCTCAAACTCACATGGAATAGTCACCAAGGTAGACCACATTCTGGGCCATAAAATACACCTTAAGTAATTTAAAAGAATAGAAATCCAAGCTCTCAGACCTCAATGAATTTAAACTAGAGATAAATAACAGAAAGACAGCTGGGGAAAAAATCCCAAAATATTTGGAGACTAAACAACATTCTTCTAAATAACACATGGGTCAAAGAAAAAGTCTCGAGAAATTTAAAAATAATTTTGTACAAAATGAAAATACAACCTACCAAAAGTTGTAGGATATAGTGAAAGCCGTGCTCAGAGGAAAATTTATAGCATTGAATACATATATTAGAAAAGAAGAAAAAGCTAAAATCAATAATCTTAGCCTCCACCCAAAGAAACTAGGGAAAGAAAAGCAGTATAAACCTTAATGCAAGCAAAAGAAATAAAATAATAAAATTATAGCAGAAATTGAAAACAGGAAATCAGTAGCGAAAACCAGTGAAACCAGAAGCTGTTTCCTTAAAAAAGATCGATAAAATTGATAAACTTCTAGCCAGGCTAACCAAGAAAAAAAGGTGGAAATTATTAATATTAGAAATGAAAGAGGAGTCATCACTACTTATTCCATAGGATAATAAAGGGATGTTACTAACAGATCTATGCCAAGTAATTTGATATCTTAAATGAAATGGATCAGTTCCTTGAAAGATACAAACTACCAAAACTCCTACAAGGAGAAAAGGATAATATGCATAAGCCTAATATATATTAAAGAAACTGAATCAGTAATTTAAAACCTTCCAAAAAAGAAAGCACCAGGCTCAGATGGTTT